CTTGTATTAGAACTTCCCTTGCTTTTGCAATTGATCTACAATTGTTCCAAAACAATAACAAACACCGTACAATATTCAAAACAAGTGTAAAACTATATCTAAATGAGAAAATAATGGAATATACATTTAAAGTATCAATTTAATAAATTTAAAATCACAAATAGATTCAACCTAACACGAAAAACATGTACAATTAAGCTCACATTATTAAGTCAATAGTCAGACCAACTGGGTTACCTGAGAAAGGTGAAGTTTGATTTGCCTAGAGAGTGCCCCTACCTAATTGCTAATTGTGTGTCACAAAAACCAACACATCCAAATACAACATCTCATATGCTACTGCTACTCCCTTTTTCATTCTGCTGCTCTCTACGTACTCTCACCATCTCTATATTCAGCTTCGAATTTCATCACCACCTTTGGGTTGATAGGAATGAAGTATACCCCACCATCATCATCTTCTTCATATATGCTATATATGTTTGAAGAAGGCTACATAATTTTACATTAAAAAATAAATAAATTTAACAAATATTTTAATTAATATCCTACAAATTAGAATATAGATATATCATATTTACTAAAAATTTCAATCACTATTATTAGGTCAGATTATTAATATAATAAACAACATTAGAAAATAATGTCCTTAACTATATACATGAGCTAAATCAGATATACGTGTAAAAAAAAAAATCAGATATACAACTAAAACTACAGGGATGAAAATAATATAATTATAATCACATATTACCCCAATAATAAAAAAAACAAATATCAGAAAACCACTGAAAGTCAAAATGGCAAGAGGTGATTGCCTACCACTGTTTCCCTTCTGCCCAAAATTGTGCCCCCACGCCCCAGCCGAATTGTGTGTCAGAGAAAGCGGCCAACACACCCACATAAAGGCTTCGAACTCCCTTCTTCTTCTTCTTCTTCATATCGCCTATGGCGCTGGTGCTCTGTTTCCATTTTTGAATCAGAGGTTGGAGAGCTAATTGTGACTGTTATATTAACCTTTGGATTTTGATGTATCTGGGTGTGTGTAGAATATTCAGAGAGGAATTTGATCAGCGTATGATGTATCTGGGTGTGTGTAGAATCTTCAGGGTGGAATTTGATCACCGTATTTGGATTCACAGGAAAGAAGTAAACCTCATCCTCTTCTTCATAAACTATACATGTTCCAATTCTCAAATTCTCTTCAGCTCCTAATTGCTCCAGCGCTGAATAAACCTCTACAACCACCTTTACTTCTTCCACTTTATTGGCTTCTATAAAATCATCATATACTCTCAACTCCAACACCGTATTCCTTTCTGTGGGATTTGTGCAGCTCACCTCCTCAAACTCCTCTGTGGTTTTGTATCTTAAATAACAATTACAATAAAACGAACATGAAATCCACACAGCTATAAGTATCCGTTTTTTCGAGGAAAACAATGGCAATGTGTAATTTGATGATGAACATCCAACAACTACTTCTGCCACCATGTCTTCTGAAACCGACATTCTAACCCCGTGAAAGTTTGGGTTTTGTAAAAACGCCTGTGTGCGTATATATATATTAAGAAAGAAATTAATTAATAAATGCATGAGAAGCATTAGATCAGAGATAGATCAGATCAGATCACTAACCTTGAACAACTTTGCACGACAAGAATTACTGGCTAGAGCGCTACATTGTAACATGTCGATTGAACGTAAATCAACAAAATTCTCCATGCCTTGAATTTCAATCAAATTACTGCAGTTATGAATATACAAATCCATTAAACTTGAGTAAGGCAGATCTTGAATCACTCGAAGGTTCTGGCAGTTATGCAAACTGAGACATTGTAGTTGAGAAAGATGAGAAAGGTTAAAGGGCAGGGTATCCAAGTAGCAATCACACAGATCTAAATATTTGAGCTTTTTGAAACTGCATCGAGGCTCAATAATCAAACCTTTGTAGATAGAAAGACACAACTCATGTAGCCCTGATACATCTTGTATATTCTCCAGCAAGGGACAATGTTGTGCAGAGAGCCTACGTAGGTTAGGTGGAAGATCTTTAATCAGTTGAAGGTTCTGACAATCGTTCAAACCTAAGTTTTCTAGCTGAGAAAGATGAGAAAGGTTAAAGGGAATGGTAGTGAAGTAACTATTGCTTAGGTCTAGAAATCTCAAGAATGATAGACTCCCCATTTGAACATCTAAATGTTGTATAGACTGGTAAGGAGCCTGTAGAGTTTCCAAGAGACATAAATTAGCATCTGAAGAAATATGTTCCACACTCCTATACTCATTGTTATAATTGGGCTGCCCTAGTGTCAGATAGTAGAGATATTTCAAAGATCCACAAGAAAAAGGTACATGTGACACTGAAGTCCATTTAGCATTAAGCACACATAGTTGCTCTAATTTTCCCAAGTTAGTAGGCAATTTTTTAATCTTGAAGCACATTTCCAAATTAAGACACTTAAGCGACTTCAAGTTACAAATACTATTGGGGAGCGCTCTAAGATTCTCGCAACTTCTCATATCTAACTCAACAAGGCTTTCCAAATCTCCAATTGATGGCGACAATTCAACCAATTTTGAGCAACTAGAGAAAGACAATGTCTTTAGATTGTGTGCTCCGGCAAAGTTTGGAGATCCTTTAAGTTGCTTGCAACCATCAAACCTTAAGATCTCCAAGCATCTAAAATGCTGTTAAATCAAAATATAAAAAGTTGTAGTAAGCTTTTTCTAATCATTTTGTCTAAATAAATTATGATAACTTTTTTAAAAAGATGTAATGTCAAAAAAAAAAAAAAAAAATCATCTAAACTTCAAACCTGCAATTTAGGTTTAAATTCCTTAATATTGCTGTTTGTTATTTTTAAAATAACAAGCTTCTTCAAGCAAAGATCAGACGATATGTGTCTCAATGGACAATTATTCCAAACAAGCAGCCTAAGCTCCTTGGATAAGTATTTTAATGGTCCATTGACATTCATGGATAAGATTCTGAGTAATCTTAACCTGCTCATTTTAGAGAATACTTTAGTATGCAAATGCACTTCCTTTGGCAAATCAATAATCATTGTTTCAATTGCTTCATTGCCCTAACAAATAAAAAAAAACATTCATAAGTGACACAAGTATAATCAAAATGTAAAACGTAAATTAATGGCAAATAAATTATTGAAGAAGTGCAAAATGTAATTACTAATTAAGTAAATGATTTGAAAAACTCACCTACCAAAATAATAGATTAATGCAAATCAAGTGTGTTTTAATTTACCTTGTTGTTCACGAGTACATCCAAAACTTCATCATACAAAAATAATCTACTTCTTTTCTCAAGTTGCATAGGAGATTCCTTGCGGACAATTTCTCTTCCCATATCTCGAACTAAATCATGCATAGAATAATAAGAATAATAATCTTTTCCCCTTAACAAGCATCTATCAATTAAAGTTGTAATTCCACTTTGAGCAAAGAAACCACAACCGTTCAATATCTGAACAATCTCTTCTTCCCGGATAATTCCACCCTCAAAAAAACAAGCAATATCAAGGAAGATTCTTTGAGTATCAACGTCAAGTGCATCATAACTAATTTTGAGAATATTCAAAATATCTTCATGAGGAATCTTTCTTAACTTCTCAAAGTCAGCTCTCCAGTGTTGAATTGATGATCTTGACCGAAAATGTGAGCCTAGAACAGTAAGTGCTAAAGGAAGTCCACGAGCATAACTTACTATCACGTTTGATAGTTCTGTAAAAGCCTCCAAAGGATTTGGGTCCTTAAAAGCATGCCAACAAAAGAGTTGCAAAGATTCCTTAGAACTTAACACATCAACATTGTACTTCTCACAATTTTTTCCGAGGCCGTTCAACAAATTAACATTTCTAGTTGTAATGAGAATTGTACTACCTGAGCCAAACCAATCTCGCTCTCCAACTAATGCCTCTATTTGACTCTCATGGTCTACATCATCAACAACAATGAGAACCCTTTTCGATCCAAGTCTTAATTTGATCAAACTAATTCCTTCATCAACATGGTTAACTTCAAATCTCGTTGTTTTGAGGGTTTTACAAAGAAGCTGCTCTTGCAAACATTTTAAGCCTACAATCTTTCCCTTTGAACATTCTGATCTAACATCAAGAAAGCAACTACCTTCAAATGTTTCAGAAATTTGGTTAAATATGGCCTTTGCTAAGGTTGTTTTTCCTACCCCGCCCATGCCATAAATCCCTATTATACCAACATCCCCATTTGATTTACTTTGTAATAAAGAAAGTATTTTTCTAACACGAGTATCAATTCCAACAGGATATTTTGCAACATCAAAAAATGTCCGGTTCACCACTTGTAGAACATTTTCTACAATTTTGTCAATAAATTTTGATTCATACCTGCAAATTTTTGTCGAGTAAATTACTGACTGGTGAATTGTTTTATATAAGGGGAATAATGGAAGAAGACAAGCAACCAGAAAATACTAACAGACAGTATTTAATAATTTAGTTTTTTAAATAAAAGGGAGAAATAAGATACCCCTCAGCAGCATTCTGTAAATCCCAACCGGAAAAATTTGCAATCTTAGTCAGAGATGTTTTCCATTGACCAACTTTTTTGGTCCCAAATCGTTGTTGATGTTGAGCTAAGGCTTCACCAAACCCACCGGTTTGTTTGCGCACTTCAGAAGGATCAACATCATAGAATACGGGGAGAACTACCTGATTTTTCTTTTCTTTACATTCCACTATCTTCACAAGCTCCTCAAGACACCACCGGGAGGAGGCATAGGTTTTGGAGAACACAATAATGGAAATCTTTGATTGTTCAATAGCTTTGATGAGGTCAGTGGAGATGTCTTCTCCTTTACGGAGCTCTTCTGCATCTCTGAAAGTGTGAACTCCAACTCGGCACAACGTAGCAAAGAGGTGATCTGTAAAAGACTTTCGTGTGTCTTCACCTCTAAAGCTCAAAAAGACATCATAGTGCCAACAGCGGGGAAGTGAAGAGGAAGATGAGGGAAGTAGCAGCAGTTGATTAGTTTCAGAAGTGGATTCCATGATATGATGGTGGTGGAAAGTGGAAACACCTTAAGGTAAAGACACAACAAGCTAAGGAAGGTAGGAAGCTAAGGATGGGTGGAGATTAAAGCTTTACTTACGATTACTACTGCGTTTGTTGCTTTTAATTCATGTGGAGGCATTTATATATACATCTTCTGTAAGAAAAGGAAATTGGTATGTATTTTCTTGCATCCATCATTAATAAAGATGTATGGCTGAGCATTAAATAATAAAAAAATAATCTAATTGGTATATATTATTTTGTAGACTTTTGTGGGTGTTAGAGTGGTCCTTTTGGTTTGACAAAACGAAGCAATAATTGTAATTTGGAAGGGGAATGGAAATTTCGTTCTATAGATGTTGCTTGCGTTTTAGGTGATATTGGTAGGAGATAATTATGAAGATAGCATAGAGTCACCCCATGCATTTATTTTACCCCGAAAGTTGAGCTAGATGCCAACTCTCATAGTGCTCCGATCGAATAGTCAACATTATTGATAAAGTGGGTTTGTTAGGTTGTATTATTTTCATGAAAAATGATATATGAAATTTTATAGGGTAATTTTTTTTTTTTTTTTTTTTTTTTAACGTGTAGTGCAATAATTTGAGGAAGTAATAAGTACATACACCAACTCATACAACAAATCCTTGTTGTTAGATTAGTTTTAGAAGTGGATTTCATTCCATGACCCAAACACTTGCAGGTGGAGCGTTATGCCATGGAACCGTGTTCACCATTCATGGTGAACACGGTTCCAACGGTGTTAGTACACCGTTATCTTTTTTTTTTTTTAATTAATTGCGTGATTTTTCTTCTTCATTTTCACATTTTGCGGTTTCACTTTAATTTGAGGTGAACAATGATTTCGGACATTCATAAATTATGAATTCATGCCTGCACATTCACTTTGGAACCATGCCTACACATTCCCGTCCGAAATCACGGACATTCATAAATTATGAATCCATGCCTGCACATTCACTTTGGAACCATGCCTACACATTCACTTTGGAACCATGAGATTATGAATTTTCAGTTATGAGATTATGAATTTTCTGTTATGAGATTATGAATTTTCTGTTATGCGATTATGAATTTTCTGTTATGAGATTATGGATTTTATGAAAATTCATAATCTCATAACAGAAAATTCATAATTTGATCAACGCGCGTCGTTAACTCCACATCCGCGAATATTTTTTTTTTGCCTAAAAACGACGTCGTTTGGTCTTGTGTTCACCATTCACGGTGAACACGTTTCTAGGACATAATTTGCCCTTGCAGGTAAAGACAAGGAAGGAGAGCATAATTTATTATTTTATGGTTACTATTATTTACTGGGACTTTTTGTTTTTTAGATGCAAGTCATGAAACTAGAAGGGGGATACCCACTATTTACTGGGACTTTGGTTGGAAGAACTGTAATTCTGTCATTTTTTTCTCTACTTTTAAAACATGAAAAATTGACCGTTTATATCATGGACGAGGGCCCACATAGTATTATGGTCCTTGATTTAAAACGACGTACAAAATTTATACTCGTAAAGTACATAATTTCATAACACAAAATACAAAAAAAATCACAATACAAGACATATAACACAAAATACAAAAAAAATCACCAACTTGATTGGGGTTGCTTCTCCTGTGATAACATTTGGGTTGAAAAAAGAAAGCAATTGTAAATTGGCAGGAAAAATGAAAGAAGCATCCATGGAAAATTAGAGGCAAGTTCCTCCCTTTATTGGCGACGGCAAAGAAAATTAGATCGAATAGGACAAGTGAGCAGGGCTCCATTTCATCTTGTCCTAGGTACAAGCTTACACTGTAGAAAATTAGAAAACAAGTAGCCAACCACAGCCATTCAATATCTTAACAATCTCTTTTATGCCAAAAATCCTTAAAAAAAGAAAAAAAGCAATATCAAGAATTATCTTCCAATGTTGGATTGATGATTTTGTTCCAAAATGTGAACCTAAAATGGTAAGGGCCAACGGAAGTTCCTCGCATAAAATATTATCATGTTTGATAGTTTTCAAAAGCCTCTAAAGAATTTGGATTTTTAAACGCATACCAACTAAAGAGCTCTAATGATTTTTTGGAGTTTAGCAGTGCATCATTATACGGAGTATTTCTCATCACAATTTTTGTTAGGACCATTCAATAAATTGACATTCCTAGTTGTAATAATAATAATGATCGAGTCTCACCAGCGGCAGTGTGGGAGCAACCTCTCAAAGTGAGGGGGCTCCTTGTGCGCAGTGAGCACCGGTCTAGCCTCTGTGGTTCATGTTCAGTTGAGTCACCATGATTTACATCCTCCCAAATGCTCTGTCGGGCCGGGGTGTGGGGAGCCCTTAGGATTGGGGTTCAGCTTTTTTTGGAAGAATTATACTGCCAAACCAATCTCGATCTCCAATTAATGCTTCTAATTGACTTTGATGGTCTTGCGTTTGTGTTTGACAAGCAGATATTGAATGCTGTTGAGACACACACCGGCTGTTTATTAATCTTGTGTATAACTTTAATTTCCAACCTTTTGCACCGCCCCTTAGACACTAATCACAAAATTGAAGGAAAAACCAAGCTCGGTCATTCCTAGAAATTAAGCAGAAAATTAGAAGATGCATGTAGGCCAGGCCATAATCTAAGAAATTGATTGGAAATTGGTATGAAGTTGCATGGAAGACTACAAAAAGTGGATTGTTTTTCTTCGATCTCAATCTTTAACTTAATTTGTAGCATAGCAAAAGTTGGAAAATGGAGACCAAATGGCATGCAGGCATGCAGCTTGAATTCGGAGAAAGAGTGAAGATCAGAAATAAGAAAAGAAATTAGGTGTTTGGCAATTACCTTATAACTCATAATTGATATATGAATGTATTAACTGATAGCTAATAACCAGCAGGACACAAGTTAATAGCCAAACCAACTTAGCCTGAGAAAGGTGGAGTTTGATTTGCCTATAGAGTGCCCCTACCTAATTGCTAATTGTGTGTCACAAGAACAGTAAACTAATTAACGAGACCATTGTAGCCTTGCAATCATTAATCACCACTCCAACATATGATCTTGGTGTTTCCCCCAAACTCTTAATGAGACGATGTAGAGCCGAGCAATTAGTGTGAATGGCTACCGAGTCGACTGCACGATTTCTTAACCAAGAAAGCGCATCCTTACATGCTAAAACTTCGACCGTTAGCACATTCGCCGCATATGGAAGTGGCCCATTCACACCAGCGAGAAACTCCCCATCGGCTGAGAGATGTATGGCACCGAAGCACGCCGAACCCGTGTCCGGCGAGAAAGCCGCGTCGACGAAGCAGCGAGAAACCTCCGATTGCTGTTGTAACAGTGGCTGAAGATATGTTCATTATCACCTAGGAGCTCTAATTCTCTCCTTGCTTGTGGTTGTCGACTTGCCGGAAGTCCTGACCTAAAGTTAACTTCTCTAACACTTCCAATTTCAAGATCTCCCTGCACAATGCACTTGCTCAGAATTGGTTTATGTTGGAAAAAATAGCTTAAAATGGCATAAAATGGCATGTTAAGTGGCTATTTTGTGGTACAATTATCAGTGTGGTCCATTTTCGATTTGGGTCGGGTTAAAGTGGATTCCGATTCTTCGTAGTGAGACGAAGAGATCGATATATTGTACGCTCAAAACGGATAATGGGTGAATGAGATATTGATTCTCAAAGTAGACCCATTTGAGTTGGAAAATGAAGGGAAAAAGTGAGCTTTTTGTCCCACATTGCTTTGGTATGAAGATTTTCCCCCCAACTAGCAGAGCTTGAAAAAGGCTTGATTCAAGCCCGAGCTCGTGTGCGCCGGCACCTGGGGGCACAAAAATTGGCTGGCCTTGCGGGCGCCAAACTTCGGTACGCTAACATGTCATTTTTCATTGCCATAATCCACACTGTGAGAACAGCAAGAACACTGCACGAAACTTTTGTTTTCCAACCTCAAAACCTCTCTGCTTCTACTCTTTCTTGGCCTACTGTGTTCATAGCCATTGTCTTGCTCGCCGGATTCCTTGTTTGAGTGCTCAAACATTGAATCATTAGCAAGTTTTATCCTGGGAAGCCTAGGCCACAACCCTCCTAGCATCTTTGGGAGGTGGCAAATAAGGTTTTAAGGAGAGAGTGCTCACTCGACTCTTGCAAAAACCCAACACCAAACACTAGCCAATTTCTTCATTTTTTCTTCCCCTCTTTCCAGAAAATAATAGTCAATTTTTTATTTGATTATTATTTGTTTTCTACCAACGGTACCAACAGTTTATACCTTTGTGGTTGATCAGACCAGCCTCTCACCAACGATCATACCTACAAAAAGTAATTAAAAATTAAAGACTGTCTATAAGACTGAAAATAAATTCAGATTGATGTTTGGAGTGTTATTCTATTTAGTTGATTAGTTAACACAAAGTTCACTGAGAATATCATTATAATTACACAAATTTTATACAATTACTTTAATCACATTACTATTATCTTCAGAATACAATTCACTCCATATTTAAAATGATATATAGTCATAACATGTAGAGAATCTCATTGCGCCGACTTTGCTGCAATGGAAACTCTCACACCAACCATCACCTCTTCACCAGCTGCCACTCCTTTCTGAAGAGTTCAAAATATGGCTTAATGAAGCAATGCATCAAACTAAAAGGTTATAACAAAATATTCAGCATGCCTTTTATATGATAGTGAAAGGAAGTCATTTTTGTTTTCCGCTCCCCATGTTCTTATATATAGCCTAAAACAAAGTTAATATGGCCTAAAAGGCCAATTATTAATCAAAATGCATTGAAGAAAAAGAAATAAACGTGAGAAAGGAATTAAAAGTATTTTATAGATGTGTACTCTCTTCGGCTTCAGAGAGAGCATTCTTGACTTCAAAGCTAGTAACGATTACTAAAAAGAAGGTAAACTAAGAGCTATTTGGTAAACAAAGAGAATAAGTAAAAAATAAATAACTATCTGCGGGTGAACTAAGAGCTATTGTGCTTCTTTACTCTAACAAATCACTATCTCGGGGTGAAAACATGAGAATCAAAGAATTGAAGCACAATAGTCAAACTATGACAACAATTCACCAGAAGTAGAAAGCTCATATAACAAATAGCAAGGGAAACACATAACTATAAACGAAGTAGTTGAATTTTGTACTCCATTAGTTGAAATATTGATTATTATGACCTTACTACCAGCAAGAATTCTTACTCTCTCTCTCTCTCTTACTATCTCACATTCTCACCAGTGTTTCAAAGTGCCTTAAATGTAGATTTAATTAAATTTCCTAGAACATATCTGATTGTAAATACAAATTTACTGTTCAATTGTACGTTCATCTTGAACTAAGTGTTCGTTAACCTCATATAACTAAGTCGTATAATGAATTTGATTGCACAAAAGAGAAGTAATAAGAAAAAAGAAGGGGGGAGGGAGCTTTTAAAGCCTCACCTTGACTCACTTCAGCCTTTCCATGGAGTCTCATCATCATACGAATTAAAGGCCCATAGATATCAGCATCCAGCAACCCGACTCTAAGGCAAGTGAAACAGCCAAATTAACTGCAAATCCAATATGTTCATCGAAGCATTGCTAAGATAATAAACGTACAAAAGCTGAATTCACAAATACCACATACATGCTATGAAAAAGTATTATTTGAGACAGTTTGAGAGAGAGAGAGAGATGACTAACCTTGAACAACTTCACTCACCAAGATTTACTGCTCAGAGTGATAGCAACCATGTAGGTCAATGCGCTCTAAATTAACCAGACTCTCCACACCTCGAAGCTCAATCAAATTACTGTACTCATAAAGATAAAATTCATGTAGCCTTAATAAGCCAGATTGATCTTGTACATTTTCCAGCAATGAACAATAACGTATGGACAGTGTCTCTAATTGATTGTGGCTATTCAACCAAATTTAAACAACCATAGAGGGACAGTGTCTTCAGACTACATGGTCCACTAAAGTTTGGGGCTCTTTTAAGCTTCTTGCAACCAACAAGCTCTAAGACCTCCAAGCATCCAAAATCCTGTTTAAATCAAAATATAAAAACCAGATGTCAGCTTTTCCTTTTTTTATCTTTTAGTTTAATTAAATTGCGATGCCTTTTGTTAAAAAGATGTAATGTCAAACCTGCAAATTAGGTTGAAATTTCTCAACCGTAGAATCAGAATTCTTCGTCCAGGCCGTATCACTCCGGAATTGGTCCAGAGTGAAGTTGACCGGCCATGAGCTGATCTTTGGAGGTGACATTGGATTGTTGACGGACGAAGTCTAAAGATCCGAGTGTCTCAAGGTTGTGAAGATCGAACTAATTGCCACTTAGAGTAACCTTGACATTTTTGTAGTTTTTTTCCAAGGGAGGATAAATATTATGAGGGATAAATTTAAACACCTTTTTTGGGTTGATAGGAAAAAAGTAAAATTCACCCTCATCTTCATATACTATACACGTCTCAATACTCAAATTATCTTCAACTTCTTTTAGCGTAAACAAATAAAACTCTATAAGCACCTCTACTTCTTCCACTTCATTGGGTTGTTCATATACTCCGCAACCCAACTCCTTATTACCACCAAAATATTCTGTTCCTCTTCCTGGGTTGGATACATATAACGACCAAGAGTGAAGCGAACATGAAACCATGGCAATGATAAATCTCCGTTTATTCTTCAAAAACAATGGGAGATGAGTAGTAGTAGTAGTAGTGGTGTAATTTGCAGATAATGAACATTCCCCAACTCCAACTACTTCCACTTCCTTGCTCCTCCGCAAGTATTGTGGAACCTGCATCTCTTTTGAAACACTCATTCTAACCAAATGTTGTCCAAGGGGGGTTGGCCTTTTAAAAAGTCCCTGCAGCAGCAGCAGCGGCGTTTATATTATATTATATTAACAAATCAATATAATATAATGCTTGAAAATTAATTAAGCATTGCATGCACTACCATCTACTGTACTATTCACTATAAATGACAAAGCCCGCAGCATTAAATTAAAATTAAAAGCAGTTCCAGAGACAGAGACACAGATGGAGATGAGTGTACTAACCTTGAACAAGTTCTCACACCAATATTTACTGCTCAAAGCGCTACACCCTCTTATGTCCATTCTTTCTAAATTAACCAGATTCTCAACACCTACAACCTCATTCAAATTACTACACTTGCCAAGATACAATCTCTCTAGCCTTAATAACCCAGATAGATCCTGTATACTTTTCAACAAGGGACAATTCTGTACTGAGAATTCATGTAGGCTAAGTGGAAGATCGCCTTTAATCACCGAAAGGTTGGGACAGTTGTCCAAACAAAGGCGTTCTAGATTGAAAAGATGAGAAAAGTTAGAGGGCATGGTATCAAAGTCACTATACCTTAGATCTAACTCTCTCAATAAGGATAAACCCCCATCACCTTTTTGAAGATCTAATAAATGTTGCACATACTGGTAAGGAGTATGTAGAGTAACCAATGAACATAATAAATTAGTACTGTTTGAATGCCCAATACCTTCCTTACTACCATAATAATACCTAGGAAAGTGTTGCGGCCCTAGTATCAGACACTTGAGATGTCTCAAAGATCCACAAGAAGTGGGTACATGTGTCACGGACGTCCCACTTGCATCAAGGAAATTTAACCCCTCCAATTTACCCAACTCAATAGGCAACTCTTTTATCTTGGAGCAACTTTGCAAAATGAGACCTTCAAGAGACTTCAAGTTGCAAATGCTACTAGGAAGCACATTGAGATTCTTGCAATCCATCAAATCTAAATTAATAAGATTTTTTAAATCTCCAATTGATTGCGGCAATTCTTTTATCTTGGAACACCATTTCAGAACAAGATGCTTAAGAGACTTCAAGTTGCAAATGCTACTAGGAAGCACATTGAGATCCTTGCAATTACTCAAATCTAACCAAACAAGGTTTTCTAAATCTCCAATTGATTGCGGCAATTCTTTTATCTTGGAACAACTTTTCAAATTCAACCACGTAAGAGACTTCAAGTTGCAAACGCTATCAGGAAGCACATTGAGATTATAGCAATTTATCAAATCTAAGTTGACAACATTTTCTAAATCTCCAATTGATTGCGGCAATTCTTTTATGTTAGAACAACTTTTCAAATTAAGATGCGTAAGAGACTTCAAGTTGCAAACACTATCCGGAAGCACATTGAGATTCTTGCATTTACTCAAAACTAACTTGACAAGATTTTCTAAATCTCCAATTGATTGCGGCAATTCTTTTATCTTAGAACAACTTTTCAAATCAAGACACGTAAGAGACTTCAAATGACAAATGCTATCAGGAAGCACATTGAGATTTCTACAATCCCTCAAATTTAAGGAAATAAGATTTTTTAAGTCCCCTACTGATTGCGGCAATTTAACCAACTTTGAACAACCATAAAGGGATAACTCCTTTAGACTATGTGCCCCAACAAAGTTTGGAGCTCTTTCAAGTTTGTTGCAAAATATCAACCTTAAAATCTGCAAGCATCTAAAATGCTGTAGAAATCAAAATATAAAAAAACAGTGATTAGTTTTTTTTTTTTTTTTTTTTTTTTTTTTTTGTATTTCAGTCTAACTAAATTATAATGCTCTTTTAAAAATTATACAATGTAAAAAGAAATATTATTTAATAAACATCAAACCTGCAATTTGGGTTGAAATTCTTCAATATTGCTCCCTTTTATTTCTAAGATGACAAGTTTTTCCAAGCAAAAATCGGATGATATGTGACTCAACGGGAAATCACGCCAATAAAGATATCTAAGCTCGTTGGGCAAGTATTTTAAAGATCCCTTAACATCCAAGTATAAGATTTCGAGTAGTCTTAACTTGGTCATTTTTGAGAATACCTTTGTACTCAAAGGCACTTCCTTTGACAATTCTATGATCATAGTTTCAATTGCCTCGGTGCCCTGAAAAGAAAATTTTCATAGTATTAAAACATTCCTAACTGGCACAAATATAATGAAAATATCAAAGGTAAATAACAAATGAATTATTGAAAAAGTATATGCAATTAACTAAGCAAGTGATGTAATTAAAAAAACCAAAAACAAAAACAAAAACAAAACAATAAAGTAAATCAAGTACAAACAAGCATTTTACCTTGTTGTTGGTGAGAACATCCGAAATTTCATCATTCAAAAATAATCTACTTCTTTTTTCAGAGTGCATAGGAGATTCTTTGCGGACAATTTCTCTTCCCATATCTCGAACTAAAACATGCATACTAAGACTTTCTTCTAACAGGCATCTATCAATTAAAGTTCTAATTCCACTTTGAGCATAGAAACCACAACCATTCATTATCTTAACAATATCTTCCTTCCAGAAACCTCCACACGTAAAAAAGCAAGCAATGTCAAGAAAGATTCTTTGAGTATCATCATCAAGTGCATCATAACTAATTTTGAGAGTCTCCATAATATTTCTATGAGGTCCATGAGGAATCCTTTTTAACTTCTCAAAGTCATCTATCCATTCTTGAATTGAAGATCTTGCTCCAAAATGTGAACCTAGGGTGGTAAGTGCCAAAGGAAGTCCACCAACATAACTTACAATCATGTTTGATAGTTTTATAAAAGCCACCAAAGGATTTGGGTTCTTAAAAGCATGCCAACTAAAGAGTTGCAAAGATTCCTTCCGGCTTAAGACTTTAGCATTATACTTCTCACAGTCTCTTCTAAGGCCATTTAACAAATCAACATTTCTGGTTGTGATGATAATTATACTACCTGGACCAAACCAATCTCGTTCTCCAACCAATGCATCTAATTGGCTCTTATCCTCTACATCATCAACAACAATAAGAACCCTTTTCAGTCCAAGTCTTCCTTTGATTAAACTAATTCCTTGATCAACATGATGAACTTTCAATCTCTTTCCATTGAGAGTTTTACAAAGAAGCTTCTCCTGTAAACGTTTTAATCCTAAACGCCCTCTATCCACACATTCTTGCCTAACATCTCCAAGAAAGCAACTACCATCAAATGATCTATAAATTTGGTTAAATACAGCTTTTGCTAAGGTTGTTTTTCCTACCCCGCCCATGCCATAAATCCCAATCATACGAACATCACCATCTGCTTCACTTCTTAATAAAGAAAGTACTTCTCTAACAGGAGCATGAATTCCAACTGGATATTTTGCAACATCAAAGTATGTATGGTTCACTACTTGCAGAACCTTGTCTACAATATTGTCAATAAATTTTGATTCATACCTGTAAATTATAGTTGAATAAATTATTGGCTGGCCAAAGAATCATGTGAATGAGAGGAATAAAGGACAAGGAAAACAAGAAAAGAGTAACAAAAAGTATGCAGTAATTTTTTCTTTTAATTTAAAGGGGAGAAACCAGAGGTACCCGTCAGCAACGTTTTGTAAGTCCCATCCAGAAAAATTTGCAACCTTAGTTAATGTTGTTTTCCATTGGCTAACTTTTTCTGTCCCGAATCGTTGTTGATGTAGAGCCAATGCAACACCAAACTCACCCGTTTGATTGCGGACCTCAGAAGGATCCACATCATAGAACACTGGAAGAACCACCTGATTTGCTTTTTCTTTACATTCCACTATCTTCACAACCTCCTCAAGACACCAGCGAGAGGAAGCATAAGTTTTGGAGAACACGATGATAGAAACCATCGATTCTTGAATAGCACTAAAGAGGTCAGTGGAGATGTCCTCTCCTTTGCGGAGCTCTTCTGCATCTCTGAAAGTGTGAACTCCAACCCTGCACAGTGCCGCAAAGAGATGATCCGTAAAGGATTTTCGTGTGTCTTCACCTCTAAAGCTCAAAAAGACATCGTAGTTCTTGCGCGGAAGTGAAGAGGAAGAAGAGGCGGGAAGGATCAGTTGATTAATTTGGGAAGTGGATTCCATGATGGTTATGGTAAAAACAAGGAAGTAGAGGTTGCTTTGTGTATGGTTAGTAGTGCGTCTGATACTTACTACTTCATGTGGGATTTATATACACATGACACATCATATCGATCTAGTGTAAGAAATATTGGAAATTGGTATGAAGTTGCGGTGTGAATGTATAGACTTGAAAAAGCATATGTAAATACCATTGAACTATTCAACACCTTTGATATGATGGAAAGGCAACACTTTTATTTTTCTACTTAACAATTAAAGCATACACCTACTAGTACATAAGGAAGGTCTAACCTTCAAACTAATTAAAAGCCACATCTTACCGTCTATAAACTTACCCTTTGTTTAAAAGTTAGTATAAATCAAAGAATATTACTCTCTAGAGTAATAGTAAACTTAGAGCTTATATTATTGGCATTACCATTATTTGCCCTTGACAAATGGCCCCGATTTGTTCATCTTATAATTCGGTGATAAAAAGTCCAACTGTCATTATTTTCAACGAAGTTAATTTTATTCTTAAGTTACTACACTTTTGCCAATGTTAGAGTGCTTTTGTTGTTGTTAAGTTACGAGAGAAATTCGCAGTCACTATTCTAAGAAGTATACAGATCAATCGTGTCTTGTGATCCTAGCTAGCAAATGGTCACAATAAGGTAAACTAGCATAGGTTGGAGTTCGTTATCTCTAGAGTGTCAATATGCTAATAGGCCGCTCCCAGGCCAAATTGAATTTGTAACCTTACGTACGATTACAACTTACAAGTCAATAGTTTAATTAACTTGATTGGAATTGTCCCTATTGTGACCACATTTGGGTTGACAAAAGAAAGCAATTGTGAATTGTCAGGAAAAATGAAAGAAGCATCCATGGAAATTTAGAGGCAATTAAGTTCCTCCCTTGATTAGCGATGTTAATTAAACGGTAGAACTGTAGACGCCAAATAAAATTGGAGCTGGACAAGTGAGCAGGGCTCCATTTGTGTGAGTGGCCAGTGGCCCCATCCATTTCATTTTGTCTATTATTAAGTGAAATATCAACTACCTCCTTGAGGAAAGAAACTCCTCAACCATAACCATTCAATATCTTAATAATTATTCAATATCTTGCATCCATCTTTAATAAAGATGTAGGGCAGATCAGAGCACTAAATAAAACAAATATAATCTAATTGGTATGAATTTTTTAGCAGACTTCTGTGGGTGTTAGAGTGGCCCCTTTTGGTTTGACAAAAAGAAGCAATTGTAATTTGGAAAGGGAATATAATGGAAATTATTTCTATAGATGTTGCTTTCGTTTTAGGAGTAGGAGATAATTATGAAGATATAGTCACCCCCACGCATTTCATTTAGAATAGTCAACATTATTGATAAGGTGAGTTTCTTGTATTATTTTCATGGAAAGTGATATATGGACTTTTATAGGGTAAAACTTGTTACGTGTAGCGAAATAATTTGAGGAAGTAATAAGTACATCACCAACTCATATACCAAATCCTTGTTGTTGGATTAGTTTTAGAAGTGGATTTCATTCCATGACCGAAACACTGGTAGGTAAAGATAAGGAAGAAGAGCATAATTTATTATTTAGTTATTTGTTATTGAAAAGAATGTACAAGATATAACAAATATTATCAAGAATTGTGCATTTAAAGACAAATAAACATGCACTTGAATGCATTAAAATGTGCACTTAAAGACAAAAAATCTACACTAAAGGAAAAAAAAAAAAAAAAGGCTTACTTGAATTCTAAGTTTTTTTTTTTTTTTTTTTTTTTTTTTTTTTTTTTTTTTTTTTTTTTGCACAATAGTAAGATACACATACACTTTTAGAATTAAATTGAGCACTTGAAGGCATAAAGAGGATCACTAGAAGGCAATGGTGATAATAATTTTTTTTAAAAAGGACACTAAAAGGGAAAATTCAAAAGAAATTAATTGTGCATTCTTAGAAAGAAAAATCGTGCACTTGAAGGCTTAAAACATACATTAAGAGGAAAAAATGATTCAATGGAATGCTAAGTATTTTTTTCAACACAATACTAATATAGACACATATGCACTTGTAGGCATAAAATTGAGCACTTGAAAGCATAGGGAGGATCACTAGAAAGGCAATTCAAAAAAAAAAAATTACTAAAAGGGAAAATTAGAAAAAAAAAATTAATTAATTGTGCACTCTTAGAAAGAAAAACATGCACTTGAAGGCTACAAAACGTGCACTTGAAGGCCAAATGCTTGCACTCAAAGGCACAAAGATGTGCACTCAAAAGAAAAACTAAGTACTGAACAAAATAGATGCACTCGAAAAGAGAAATATACATTTGAAGAAGGAAAAAAATGTGTACTCAAAAAAAAAAAAATGTGCACTCAAATACAAAAGAAAATCTGACCTACTTATTCAAAATTGCAAATATATCACCCGTACGTTTTTTTTTTTTTTAATTAATATTGAATCTTGCCTTTTGATTTTGGAATGCATCTTCGATTGGATTTTGTGAACATTTTTTACCAAAAGAAACTTTTTTATTTGATCCAAAATCTAAAGAATTTCTCCATAACTTAACCAAATAAATGTATTTATAGCATTAATTAGTGATGACACAAATAAATTTCAGAAGCAAGCATGAGATAATTTAACTATAAGGCTTTAATCCTTTAACCAAAGCAGACTGAAGACTACAGACAGAAGCATCTCTATAACTCTATTACTGCAGACCAATGTTGCAAAAATGTTAGGTGCCTAGGGGGCGCCTAGACGCCTGATTTTTTTTTTTTTTAAATTAAACTAAAAAGTATAAAAATTCACTAATAAAACATAAGGGTCCGTTTACTAACAGAAAACTGTTCTCTTGTTTTCTATTCTCTATTTTCTGTTTAGAAAACTTGTTTACTAACAGAGAAAACTGTTCTATGTTTTCTAATTTTTCAGTTTTCACCTAAAATTTAGTTTAGATAATATTAATATTTTTTGAGCTAATATTTAAAATATTTTTTGGATTTATTCATTTGAATGACATGTATATGAATATATAACTTTTACTTTGAATTCTAATATATGTGAGATTTCATCCGATATCTGGACCGAACTTGTATTACGATGTAACATAATTAAAAATATTCGAACTAATAATCTATTGAGTTAAATCAAAATCTAAAACATTATATAGAGTTTAATTCTTAATTTTGATAATGTAAATAATGTTTAACTTTAATTAAAGTGTAAGCAAATAAGTTATGTTTAAATGTTTAAAAAAAAGTTATGTTTAAATAAGTAAAATATGTAGAAAAGATAGAAGATAGTTATAAGTAAAATAAGATGATAATGAATGTAATCATAGTAATGTGGTTATAGTGACATATAACTAAATAGATGATAGATGATTTTGTTTTTCATTTAGAAAACAGTTTTTAAGAGTATTCCAGTTTTTCAGAAATATCTAGAAATTATTTTCAGTTTTCAAAATGAAAAACTGTGCTAGCAAACATGTTTTATGTTTTCTATTTTTCAGTATAAAATTATTCATGTACAAGCATTCTAGTGTTTACACAATTTATAGAGCAAACCTGATGGCACAACATTACCATACAAAACAATGTGCACAGGCCAACAAGACTATATATAGAACAGATTAAAACAATTGAGCTAATTGTGTCAGTCAGAAAAACCAAGAAATTAAAATAAAGGGTGCAGGCATACAACATCCCGAATGCAACTCCCTTCATTCTGCTGCTCTCTTTCCATGCCTGTAATTTCATCGTCAGTAGATTGAGGGTGGAATTTTATCACCACATTTGGGTTCATAGGAATGAAGTATATCTCACCCTCTTCTTCATATACTATACATGTTTGAAGAATGCTTCTCTCTTTCCATCTTTGCTCAGACGATGAATGCAACTCTATAAGCTCCTCTACTTCTTCGAATTTATTGGGTTCTGTAAAAAGATTATATACTGTGCATCGAACCTCCATATCATCATCTGGATATATCAACTCTGTTCCAATCATTTTGTAATCCAAAAATTTCAGCCGAAACAAACATAAATTCTCCACAACAATAAATATCCCTTTTTTTCTTCAAAAACAATGGCAAACTGTAATTCGATGAACATCCAGCTACTTCATTATTGCTGCACACATATTTTGAAACCTTGTCTTTGGAAACACTCATTTTAAACCATTCATGGCAGTTTGGGTATTGCAAAAGTGCCTGCGTATATTAAAAACGACAAACATTACCAGCTGCAATAAGAAAACATTAGAGGCAGTTTCAGAGAGAGAGAGAGATCACTAACCTTACACAAGTTCACAAACCAAGATTTACTGCTCAGAGTGCTACAATTTCTTACGTCAATTTCTCTTAACTCAACGAGATTCTCAAGGCCTCGAAGCTCAATCAAATTGTTGCAGTTATAAAAATACAAATAATGTAGCCGTAAGAGCAAACCCAATGGCAGAACATTACCATACAAAACAATGTGTACAAGCCAACAAGACTATATAGAAGAGATTAAAAATGCTGCACAACCCTAAAATCAGTTAATCAATTGAGTAGTAAATGTAAGATACCTGCAAACTAGTAATTTACTACTAACATATTCCTATGTATCAGCTACACACTTTGAGTCCCATCTTTCTGAACGGTGTATGAGAGCTATCCTACATACACCATTTTCACAAATGTACACGGAAAATTACACCCCAAAAACCAGACCATCTCCTACTGCATTTACATCCACACCCTTCATCTCTCTTCTTCTCATCTCTTAAGAAACCATATTGAATCTCTCTGCCAAGCTAGCTCAGTTCGTTCGACCAATCACCCTAAAGCCTTGCAGCAGCAACATCTGGGGGCAAGGGCGGATCCAGAAAAGTTTGTGAGTGGGGGCGAAGTCCACGACAAAATATCAAACACGTACAATATGGTTCAAATACAAAATACATTATAAATTACAATACAATGTTTATGTTGAACTATGAAATTCTCAAAAGTAGATTTTTCTTTTAAAGAATTTCTCCATCACTGAACCAAATAAATGTATTTATGGCATTAATCAGTCATGACGCAAATAAATTTCAGAAGCAAGCATAAGATAATTTAACTATAAGGCTTTAATCCTTTAACCAGAGCAAACTGAAGACTACAAGACAAAAGCATCTCTATTACTCTATACACAAAGTTCAGCTGTGTAAGTTCATCTATACATGATGCATAGATTTACACACAGAAAAATAAAATAGCTAGCAAATATGAAGTTGTTTGTTATCTTATTCTTTGCAGAGTACTAGGACATAACCCACACATATAACATGTATGTGCCTTGTGTTATGAAATTCTATATTTACGAATATGAATTATGTACCTCGATCCAGGGTTCATAATGGTATGTAGACCTGGACCTGGTCCATGATATAAATTACCTGAGCTGAGCTTTGGAAGCGGCGTTGGATTGCAAAGATTGTTGAGGGACAAAGCCTAAAGAGTTACTCAAGGTTAGGTTGTGAAGAGTGAGCTGAGCTAACGGCGTGTTAGAATAACCTCGACAATGTTGCGGTCTTGGATGGACGGGACACTTCTCCAGCGTTGAGGGACAAAGCCAAAAGTAGGGGGTTGGAATTTGAGCACCTTGTTTGGGTTGATAGGAAAGAAGCATACCTCACCCTCTTCTTCATATACTATACACGTCTCAACACTTGAGTTCTCTTCAGCATCTTTTGGACAAAACTCTATCAACACCTCTCCTTCTTCCACTTTATTGGGTAGCTCATATACACAGCATCCCAAGTCCTTAGAACCATACACTATTCCATATCTTCCATTCGTCTCTTGTTGGTATAAAATCCAAGGGTCAAGCAAACATGAAACCATCACAACGATAAATATCCGTTTATTCTTCCATGAACGTCCACGTCCTTCAACTCCAACTCCAACTCCATCTACTTGCTTGCTCCTCCGCCAGTATTGTGGAACCATATCTTTTGAAACACGCATTCTAACCCATCCAGTAAGGGTTGGCCTTTTAAAAAGTGCCTGCAACAGCAACGTTGTTTATATTATACGGAGTATTAAATTTTATTAAAAGCAGTTTCAGAGACAGAGATAACTGTACTAACCTTGAACCAGTTGTCACACCAATATTTACTGCTCAGAGCGCTACACCCTCTTATGTTCATATCTTTTAAATTAACCAGATTCTCAACGCCTACAACCTCATTCAAATTACTACACCCGCCAAGATACAATTCCTCTAGCCTTAATAACCCAGATACATCTTGTATACTTTTCAACAAGGGACAATTATATACTGTGAAACTATATAGGCTAAGTGGAAGATCATCGTCTTTAATCACCGAAAGGTTGGGACAGTTGCCCAAATGAAGGCCTTGTAGATTGGAAAGATGAGAAAGGTTAAAGGGCAGGGTATCAAAGTCACTATAGCTTAGATCTAACCATGTCAATAAGGATAATCTCTCATCACCAATTTTAAGATCTAAATGTTGCATGTACTGGTAAGGAGCACTTAGCATTTCATAGGAACATAATAAATTAGTGTTTGGAAATTCCAAATGCCCAATACATCTCTCATTATAATGCCCACCAACAGCGGAATGGTGCGGCACTAGTTTCAGACACTTGAGATGTCTCAAAGATCCACAAGAAGTGGATACATATGTCACGGACGTCATACTTGCATCATGGAAATTTAGCAACTTCAATTTTCCCAAGTCAATAGGCAATTCTTTTATCTTCAAACAATTTTGCAAAATAAGATGCGTAAGAGACTTCAAGTTGCAAATGCTACTAGGAAGCGCATTGAGATCCTTGCAATTACTCAAATTTAACATGACAAGATTTTCTAAATCTCCAATTGATTGGGGCAATTCTTTTATCTTGGAACACCCACGCAGAACAAAATCCTTAAGAGACTTCAAGTTGCAAATGCTATCAGGAAGCCCATTGAGATCCTCGCAATTACTCAAATTTAACTCAACAAGGTTTTCTAAATCTCCAATTGATTGCGGCAATTCTTTTATCTTCGAACACCATTTCTCATCAAGACGCTTAAGAGACTTCAAGTTGCAAATGCTATCAGGAAGCCCATTGAGATCCTTGCAATTACTCAAATTTAACTCAACAAGATTTTCTAAATCTCCAATTGATTGCGGCAATTCTTTTATCTTGGAACAACTTTCCAAATTAAGATACTGATGAAGAGACTTCAAATTGCAAATGCTATCAGGAAGCCCATTGAGATCCTCGCAATTACTCAAATATAACCCAACAAGGTTTTCTAAATCTCCAATTGATTGCGGCAATTCTTTTATCTTGGAACACCATTTCAGATCAAGATGCGTAAGAGACTTCAAGTTGCAAATGCTACTAGGAAGCGCATTGAGATCCTTGCAATTACTCAAATTTAACTCAATAAGATTTTCTAAATCTCCAATTGATTGAGGCAATTCTTTTATCTTGGAACACCCATGCAGAACAAAATCCTTAAGAGACTTCAAGTTGCAAATGCTATCAGGAAGCCCATTGAGATCCTCGCAATTACTCAAACATAACTCAACAAGGTTTTCTAAATCTCCAATTGATTGCGGCAATTCTTTTACCTTGGAACAACTTTCCAAATTAAGACGTGTAAGAGACTTCAAGTTGCAAATGCTACTAGGAAGCACATTGAGATTCTTGCAATTACTCAAATATAACGCAACAAGGTTTTCTAAATCTCCAATTGATTGCGGCAATTCTTTTATCTTAGAACACCCTTGCAGAACAAGAAGCTTAAGAGACTTCAAGTTGCAAATGCTACTACGAAGGGCATTGAGATTCTTGCAGCCCTTCAAATATAAGGAATTAAGATTTTTTAAGTCTCCTATTGATTTTGGCAATTTAACCAACTTTGAACAACCATCAATGTATAACTCCTTTAGACTATGTGCTCCAACAAAGTTTGGAGCTCTTTTAAGTTTCTTGCAAGATTCCAACCATAAACTCTGTAAGCACCTAAAATTCTGTAGAGAACAAAATATAAAAAACAGTGGTTAGCTTTTCTTTATATTTCAATCTAATCAAATTATAATGCATTTTTAAAAATTATACAACGTCAAAAGAAATATTATATAATAAACATCAAAACAAATATTATATAATAAACATCAAACCTGCAATTTGGGTTGAAATTCTTTAATATTGCTCTCTTGTATTTTTAAGATAACCAGTTTTTCCAAGCAAAGATCGGATGATATGCGACTCAACAGGCAACCATGCCAATAAAGAAATCTAAGCTCCTTGGACAAGTATTTCAAAGATCCCTTGACATTCATGTCTAAGATTTTGAGTGCTCTTAACTTAGTCATTTTTGAGAATACCTTGGAACTCAAAGGCACTTCGTTTGACAATTTTATGATCATTGTTTCAATTGCGTCTGTGCCCTGTAAAAGAAAATTTTCACTGCATTAAAACACTCCTAATGACTGACACAATTACACAAATATAATGAAAATGTAAAAATTAAATAACAGATGAATTATTGATCAAAAAGTAAAAAATGCAATTAACTAAGCAAGTGATTTAATAAAACAAACCAAAACAATACAGCAAATCAAGTACAAACAAGCATTTTACCTTGTTGTTTGTGAGAACATCCGAAACTTCATCAGCCAAAAATAATCTACTTCTTTTTTCAGGCTGCATAGGAGATTCCTTGCGAACAATTTCTCTTCCCATATCTCGAACTAAATCATGCATACTAAGACTTTTTTCTAACAAGTATCTACCAATTAAAGTTCGAATTCCACTTTGAGCATAGAAACCACAACCATTCAATATCTCAATAATATATCCTTTCTCATGGGTGAAAAAACAAGCAATATCAAGGAAAATTCTTTGAGTATCATCATCAAGTGCATCATAACTAATTTTAAGAATATTAAAAATATCATTATGAGGAATCCTTCTTAACTTCTCAAAGTCATCTATCCATTCTTGAATTGATGATCTTGTCCAAAAATGTGAGCCTAGAGTGGTAAGTGCCAAAGGGAGTCCACTAACATAACTTACTATCATGTTTGATAGTTCCATAAAAGCCTCCTCCGGACTTGGCTTCTTAAAAGCATGCCAACTAAAGAGTTGCAAAGATTCCTCAAGACTTAAGACTTCAACATTATACTTCTCACAATCTCTTCTAAGGCCATTTAAAAAATCAACATTTCTAGTTGTGATGATAATTCTACTACCTGGACCAAACCAATCTCGTTCTCCAACCAATGCGTCTAATTGACTCTTATCCTCTACATCATCAACAACAATGAAAACTTTTTTCAGTCCAAGTCTTCTTTTGATCAAACTAATTCCTTGATCAACATGATCAACTTTCAATCTCTTTCCATTGAGAGTTTCAGAAAGAAGCTTCTCTTGCAAATGTTGTAATCCTACACACCCTCTATCTACACATTCTTGTCTAACATCTCCAAGAAAGCAACTACCATCAAATGATCTATAAATTTGGTTAAATACAGCTTTTGCTAGGGTTGTTTTTCCTACCCCGCCCATGCCATAAATCCCAATCATACGAACATCACCATCTGCTTCACTTTTTAATAAAGAAAGTACTTCTTTAACACGAGCATGAATTCCAACTAGATATTTTGGGACATCAAAGTATGTAGGGTTCACTACTTGTAGAACATTTTCTACAATATTGTCAATAAATGTTGATTCATACCTGTAAATTTTAGTTGAGTAAATTATTGGCTGGCCAAAGAATCACGTGAATGAGAGGAATAAAGGACAAGGAAAACAAGAAAAGAGTAACAAAATGTATGCAGTAATTTTTTTAAAAGGGGAGAAATCAGAGGTACCCGTCAGCAATGTTGCGTAAGTCCCATCCAGAAAAATTTGCAACCTTAGTTAATGTTGTTTTCCATTGGCTAACTTTTTCTGTCCCGAATCGTTGTTGATGTAGAGCCAATGCAACACCAAACTCACCCGTTTGATTGCGGACCTCAGAAGGATCCACATCATAGAACACTGGAAGAACCACCTGCTTTGCCTTTTCTTTACATTCCACTATCTTCACAACCTCCTCAAGACACCAGCGAGAGGAAGCATATGTTTTGGAGAACACGATGATAGAAACCATCGATTCTTGAATAGCACTAAAGAGGTCAGTGGAGATGTCCTCTCCTTTGCGGAGCTCTTCTGCATCTCTGAAAGTGTAAACTCCAGCCCGGCACAGTGCCGCAAAGAGATGATCCGTAAAGGATTTTCGTGTGTCTTCACCTCTAAAGCTCAAAAAGACATCATAATTCTTGCGCGGAAGTGAAGAGGAAGAAGAGTGAAGAATGAGTTGATTAGTTTGGGAAGTGGATTCCATGATGGCTATGAAAACGGTAGAGGTTGCTTAGTGTATGATTAGTAGTTCGTCGGATACTACTACTTCATGTGGCATTTATATACACATCATATCTGATATAGTGTAAGAAATGGAAATTGGTATGAAGTTTGTTGCATGTTTCTTGGATATTATAGCAGCAGGTAGATGTCTGGTATTGGTTTGTGAGTGTATATGTAAATTGCTCTGAACCTACTTGTGTCACATAAGAAAGGGCCCCAATTGAAAGACCAACTTTAATGTCTTTTGATAAAGCAAATTAAATCCAGAAAGCGAAGAAGATATATATGATGGTGTTCCCACTTTCCCATAATAATCTAACAAATTGGTAAGAAGTTGCGGTGTGAATGCATAGACTTGAAAAAGCATATGCAAATAAATACCGTTAAACTATTCAACACCTTTGATATGATGGAAAAGCAACACATTTTTTTCTACTTCATACTTAACAACTAAATCATACACTTACTCGTACAAAATTATGACAGGCCGGGCATTAAACATAAAGTAGATGCTTCAAACAAAGTTAAATATGGGTTTGGTACGGTAATCATGCTGAGGCACAAGGAAGTTGTCTTATCTTTTTTATTTTGAAAAGTTACCTATTGATATGATCAAAGTGTAGCAGAATTCTTTTTAATTTCTCAAAAAGGATTGGTATATATGATTGGTATCAATCAATAATTCAAGATTCATAAATTAAATAATTTGGGGAGACATCATATCGTCCTTATGGCGATTCAGGAATCTCAATTATTAGTATAAATCCAAGTCTTAATAAAAGTACAGTCCTTGTCTGCTATGAATCAGACGATTTACATTTCAATTATTGAAAGATGGCAAGTGGAGGACAACTATGAGGATGACAACAAAGAAAAAATCTTTTGTAAATCTTGGAGGGTCCACAGCAAGGACAAGATATTTCATGAAGTTGTGAATGGCTTTAATAAAAGAGTAAGTGAAACTAATCAAGAATATGAAGATGGAGTTGAGTTGAAGATGGTCAATCTGGTTCAGACATAATTTGAAAAATAAAATTTGAGTGGAGGTTCATATATTATAAATTAACACTTTAGACTGTCCTTAGAGCATGAATATTGGATATTTGAGAGATATTCCAGACAAATTGGAGAGTAAAATGGAGAGAGAAGGTAAGTGCGAGAAGATTGAAGATCATCTACAAGGTATTGGTTTTTTCAAATATTTGAGATCCACAGCAAAGCTTCTCCAGTTGTGACAGCTAAGCGTGGCTGTCACACCTACGCCCAACGGGCGCGTGCACTTTAGAGTTTAGACCGTCCTTATAAATCTAATTCAGGCATAATTTGAAAAATAAAGATCGAGTGGAGGTTCATATCTTATAAATCAACACTTTAGACCGTCTTTATGCTATTTAATTTGTAAAGTCTAAATTAGGCTTATAGATCCTAAATTCAATTAGAATTTAGTTTTTTAAACCCATTTGACTTAGTTATCCTAGTCTTGTGGCTAGTTACATCTTTTTAACTAGTCTAGCACTAGAATAGCACATCTTGAGCTTAAATGTCATTGATATAAAGATGGGCTAAACTGTATAAATAGCCATGTTATTATTTTTGTTAGACAGACAACTTTGACAATAGTAAATTTAAGAATATTGCTTTGACAAATTCTTTTCCTTGAATTCTTAAAAGTATTTTGACTTATCTTAGGATTTACTTCCTATCCACCATTTAAGTGACGAAACTTTGCACCACCGTTTTCCTTCTTTTGCTTCCATCACCCAACCATTCTTCTTTCTTAGCTGAAGCCCACAACAACAAGTGCACACACAGACATATTGTTTATTAATCTTGTGTTACTTTAATTTCCAACCTTTTGCACTGGCTAATTATTTTGTGAACTCGGGTCCACCTTGCAAGGTGGATTCGGGTTCAAAAGTACACAATTTACATACTGAATGTTTACAATTTTATATATTGGATGTTCATAATTTACATACTGAATATTCATAATTTTACATACTAAATGTTCACAATCACATACACAATTTATTACATACTAAATATTCACAATTCAAATTGTGAACATTCAATAGGTAAATTGTAGATATTCAATATATAAATTATGTATTTTGGATCAGGATCGACCTTGCAAGGTGAACCCGAGTCCATTGCATAAGTATTGTTTTGCACCGCCCCTTAGACGCTAACCACAAAATAAAAGGACCCATCCGACCAGAATTATTATAAATACAGTACAAATGTGGAAAAACCAAGTTCGGTCGTTCTCAGAAATTAATTGGTATGAAGTTGCATGGAAGACTACCCAAAAAGAAAAAAAAAATGTTCGGTAAATAGCTTATAATAATTAATAGTTGATATTGATTATTTTAAATAATAGCTGATAGTTGTTTGTGTTTTTTACTCCAAGCCACAAGGTATATCTTTTATTAATGACTAGCTTGTTTTTACTCTTGAGTTATTCTATGAATGGTCCATTAATTATATTTATCAATTTTTATCATTGATTTTCAATTCGATCATTATTTATCCTGGGTAAGAAAAAATGTAATATTTTTCTTATGAAAAAAAGTGTAATATTAATCTTGATAAATTCTTTGATTATTACTTATAAGATAAAGAGTTTAATACTTACAAATAAAAATGTGATGTTTTTTGTGGAAAAATGTAATACTTTTAAATCAAAATATAATAGTAGGGATTGAAGAGTTAGTTATGAAAAAAAAGTACTCCAATACTACTTATGAAGGAAAGTGTAATACTTAATGAAAAATCCGACATGTCTCACAAATCCTCATATGAGATTTTGCCTTTTATTTTTACATTATAAGTGTAATTAATTTTAAATTATTACAATAACATAATAATAATAATAATAATAATAATAATAATAATAATAATAATAATAATAATAATAATAATATAGGGATTGGATCCTATGAGACCATAGATAAGATCATGAGATCCCATCACAATCATCCAATTAATTTTAATTAATGGTTAATATTTAATTTAAAGACCAATTTATATTAGGATATATTTAATACATAAGGGTAGTATAGTAGTTTTAGTTTCTTGTTTGATTTGAAATTATAATTAAAACATTCAATAAATTTACCAGACATGAGCTATAGTGTTATTGAAATGAACGAGTGCAGTGTTATGTAAGAGCGTGTGCATGTATGTGCAAAAGAGTGTGCGTAGATAGAGCCCCCCTCTTTGCTTGCAATATACCAACAGTGTGCGAACCAACGAGTATAGCATTCTAAATTGCCGTGTGCATGTACGAGCAATGGTATGTGCATTGCAATTCTATAGGTGTGCCGAATGAAGCTAAACGAAACAAGTATACCGTTCAAAATTGTCGTGTGCATGTATGAGCGGTGGAGTGTGCATTTTACTGAGCATCTCTAATGTTATGGAATAATACTGAACATTGTGTATATTTGTCCATGGGTGCGTGCATATCCGTTCATGAGTGTGTGTAATAGAAAATATAGAGAGTTGAACTTAAAATTTTATGATTACAAAACCGACTGTTCAACTAACTTGATCGGGGTTGCTCTTATTGTGACGACATTTGGGTTAACAAAAGAAGGCAATTGTGAATTGGCAGGAGAAATGAAAGAAGCATCCATGGAAATTTAGAGGCAAGTTCCTCCCTTGGTCCCAATTCATTTACTCCTAGGTACACGCTTACACTGTAGAAAATTAGACTGGACAAGTGAGCAGGGCTCCATTTTAGTGAGTGGTCCCAATTCATTTACTCCTAGCTACAAGTTTAGACTGTAGAAAATTAAAGTAGGACAAGTGAGCAGGGCTCCATTTCTGTGAGTGGCCCTATCCATTTCATTGTCTCCTAGGTACAAGTTTACACCTCCTTGTGCGTAGAAACTCCTCAACCACAACCATTCAATATCTGATCTTAACAATATCTTTTATGCCAAAATATCCTCTTCCCTTAAAAAAAAAATATCAAGAAAGATTTAATGATATGAAGGGCTCCAATGATTTTTTGGAGCTTAGCGGTGCAATATTATATTTCTAACAATCTTTTTTAAGTACCATTCAGAATGACTAAGTGAGCAGAGCATAATTGTAATCTCCACAAATAAATTCATTAGTCACCAAGAAACCAAAGGGCGAAACTCCGATCGAAGACCTTGAAAATGTACAACTTATGGTCATCCAAAGTGACCAGCCGACTAACCAACACTAAATCTTCCACTAGCACCTGAGCGCGGCTAAGAAAATTAACAACGGATTCATCACCTTTACAAGCCCCTGGAGTTGACCAAGTGTGCTCGAGCACGAATCGTGCAACCTAAGGATTGCTCGATTTACAACCAGACTTGGTGCGACGTAGTCCGGCCAATGGCCAGGTGCATGACCTCCTTGGAGAGGGAGGAGATCAACATGGATAAATTTTTCTGGTCCTGTTGCATCCCTGCATGACAGTAATGGTGACGGTGGTGGATGCCGTCGAAGCAACAATAGAACAGACGAGGAATAGTTCCATCCATAAAGCCTAATAAAGTATGTCCTGTAAATATTAAATTCATAATGTGGAATGGGCATAGGTTTTGCTTGGGATAATTTTGGGAGGAGATTTCCCAAAGGAATTGGGTGGAGGTTTGCCTAAGGGACTTGGGTGGAGATTTGCCTAAGGGACTTGGGTGGAGGTTTGCCTAAGGGACTTGGGTGGAGATTTGCCTAAGGGGCTAGATTTGCTTTGGGGAAATTTGCAGGAGAAGTTTTTTCTTGCATGGCAAGTTCTAGGCATTTAATATTATATTAAATGCTTAAGAATTCTCTAGACCTTCTTGGTGTTATAAATAGGCAACATCCTTCATCAGATTATCCCATCCCATCCTTTCTCATCTCATACGAAATATACAGAGAGTATAGCAAAATTCTGTAGAGAAAAATAGAGAGTTATATTTGTAATTCCTATTGTTTTATCCTTTTGCCAATACAGAAAAAATTCTTCTTCAAATTTTCTTTGCTCTGTGTATGATTTATTTTAAATCTTACACTAGAATTTATTCTCAATATTTTCCAGTTCAAGTTGCTATTGTAAATTTGGTGTTGTGAACCAGTTTCGATCCTAACATGTCCTCGTAAAAATGGCACCAATTTCGCCAAAATAAACAATTATGGGCATTAGAGAGAGTTTTAGAGAGATTAAATATCGAAAACTTTGAAGAATAATTGAAGTTAGTAGTCAATGGATCAGTCAGAGCACTACAATATATTATCTTAATTGATTCTATTTTAACGAGATTCTCTAGGCTATGAAGCTCAAGTAAGTTATTGCAGTTAGAAAGAACCAACTGTTGCAGATGTTTTATGTTAGATAGAGGTAGTACCTTATTTTCCAGCAAAAGACAATTGTTTATCTTGAGTTCTCATAAGTTTGGTGGAAGTTCTTGAAGCACTGAAAGGGTCTAACAATCTTCCAATTAAAGAATTATTAACATGGAGAGATGATCTACTACCTTTTCAGGTAAGAGACAGCCCATTATGTAGAGCTCTTATAGTCCAGGTGGAATTTGAAGTTTTCAAGCACTCTGACATTTGTTCATATTGAGTTTCCATAAATTTGAAAGAAGACCTAGTACCTTTTCTGACAAGAGACAATTAGTTGCATTGAACTAAGCTACCCTAAGTGAAAGTTCTTGAACCACTTAAAAGTTCTAGCAATCCATCAAACTGTAACATTTAAGAGTGGAAAGATGACAATGGATAAATGGTAGGGTATCGCATAAAAAATCCCAGGAGTTAAATCAACATGTGACCACATCTTCGACCCTAGAACAGTGTATCAAGATTTCTCATTCTTGTACAAGACAAAGGTAGCACTAACACAGAAGTCAAATCAGCATTTAACTCACATACCAATGTAGAAAAACCAAGCACACTCCCAAAAATTAAGAAAATACTATATGAACCCTCACTTTTTACTCCCTCTCACAAATATATCTTTGATATAAACATTTTCTTGAGACCCATATGAAGAAAATATCCTTGTTTGCCATGTCAAATGAAGGGGAATTGAAATTTAAGACATGTAGTAAAACTCAAAAAATAAGCAAAAAAGAAGATGAATGTGGGCAAAGAATCACATCTACAAATTTGATGGAATCATAGAGTACAACAATAGATTTGATAGCCAAAGATTTAGAGTGTTAATTTCAACACTCTACCATTAAAACATAACATTCCTATTAGCTAACTTTTGACATAAAGGTAAGCATTTGATTTTAACAAGATTTTTCTCTCCTACTTTATATATACAAAGTACTAAACAGCATAGACAAATGAATCACATCTACTTGTACAAAAAATACTTTTGTCTTCACCGCATTCACTAAATAGGCATATTTTTGTCTTGTTGCTACATCAGAGTTCCTGGTAAATACATGATTTGGTACCTTCTTAAGTAAGAAATGCATTCCTAGAAATACTTAAATCATTGAGCCAACAAAACTTAAACTAGATGGGGTAATACCTTCAAAATTTAACTACGGCAGGGCATTAAAAATAAACTAGATGCTTCCAAGTTGAAAATGGGTTTGTTAATCAGGCTGAGGCACAGGGAAGTCATCTATCTTTTTTTTTTTTTTTTAATTTTGAAAAGTTATCTATTGATCAAAGTCTGTCAGAATTCTTTTTGTCAAAAAGGAATGGTATCAATCAATTCAAGATTCATAAATAATTGGGCCATTGGGGGAGACATCCTTGTGGCGATTCATGAATTTCAATTAGTATAAATCAAGAGTCTTAATAAAAGTATCGGCCTTGTCTGCTATGAATCACATTTAAATTTCAATTATTGAAATAGGGCAAGTGATTCCTATCTAGGTAATGACAAGTAGTTGGAGTTTCCAAAATGAAGATTCACAACTTCTAATGCTAAGAAAGATAAAATATGTAAAATAAATGAAGGAAAGGGCAAAGCTAAAGACAAATTGAATGATCTAACACTCAAGGATAAAAATCACATGGATAAGATTATAAAAACATTCAAACCAGGTGCACCTATTACTTCTAAGATGTGTAAAGAGAGCTCGATTCTTTATACAAAGAGAGCTCGATTCTTTATACAAAGAAACTATAGTGAAATGCTCAAGAAACATGATACACACCCAAAAGAATGAGTAATTTACTCACGCAATTAAAGGAATAAATGCAAGAATGGAAATCAGGAAAATTAGAATGCACAGATTAGGGGGAGAGCTTAACTTAAGGGATTAGACAAGAATAAATCAAAGGCACAATTATCTCCTTTTCTATATTTATTTATTTCTTTGCACTATATATTGGAACCTCTAGATGAGAGGAGGACATCAGATCCTTTATTGGCAAGAGCCTAAAACTCTTGTTGGGGAAAGTATTGTGACGTTCCTGTTTCTTTTTTTCAGTTTACAATCAATAAAAAAAATACCTCCATGTTCTTTTCTCTAACAAAACAACAGAAAGCTCATTACAGATGGCATGCTGCATAAGAAAAACATGTTACCGAAAAGTTAACCCTTAAATAACTAACCTGAAGACTTCATCTGTGATGAGAAGTGTTTGGATAGCCATTCGCTCATGAGCAACTTCCACATGTTTTGGTCCATAGCATGCGCGATCAGGGTCCTGGAGTACACAATAATAAATAAATCAAAAACTTTTAAATTACAAACATTACTTGAATAATAGTTTAAAACCACACAGATCAAGGGTGAAACCTAACATTTGAAAGCATGTTGAAGAAATCCTTGAGGGCTTGTACCTAAGTAAAAAAAGGAAGAAGAAAGACAGTTTCAGTTAGTCCAAAATAAGAATTCAAAACAAACATGATTTAATATAAAATTTAAACAAAAAAAGAAATGAAGAAAATCTCATATCAAAGTGAATGAGGTGCAGAAACAACCCCTTTTGCAGCTTTTGTATCTTTAATCATATTCATCACATTGGGGGCATCTAGAACTTCTTTCAGACTATGCCTGTGAATCAAGATTTTTTTTAATGTTAAAGCTTTGTTGCAGAATGAAATTTTTTTTTAAGATATAAACAACTGCTAGACTAAAGAAAGTGCTTGAAGCCTTGAACTGCTAAGATAAAAACTAACAAAGTATTGAGGATAATACATATTGGAAATAATAAATGTGTATCCTCACTGACAAGTGACAACTTAAGTTCTTAGTTTCTATATTTCAACAATTAGCGAGAAGGGAAAGGCCTGAATCTAAGATAATTCAACATGCTTCTCTACGACTCTAATGGAGCCAAGGTGGATGTATTATATATCCATACCATGCAAGCATGAATGTATACATAAATGACCAAAAACATTTTATAAGAAATAAAATTGCTCCATCAACAACTTGTGCATTCACGTGCAATATTGTATACTATTAGTGAGTGAGATACAAGTAACACATCTCCTAATATAAGAATGGGAAAGAGATCATACTTATATCCCGAGGTAGTATGTGCAAGAATTATCCGTGATTTGTTCTCTATTATAGGTCTCAGTTGCTTCCTCTCTGCTTCTAACAGCAAGTGACGATGAAATTGATCCTGAAATTATTTGTATTTAGAAAGTTATGCACTGAACCGTAACAAATAACTTACTAAGTATGAGTTGATTAATTCCTTAAAATGTTTATTTGCATATAAAAACTGTAATGGAAAAAAGATTAAGATCATCAGAATAGCATCAGCTAGAAGTAATCACTAGAGAAGCCAAGATGGACCTTTGTGAATCCCGGACTTGCAATCACAGCACAACGAATCACGTTGAAATAATATGCTAAAGGAAAGCCTAAAACATAGAGATATTATTAATGGGGGGAAATTATGAGGTTATCTAGAGAGGAATTGAACTTTTGACGGGGAAAGAAGCAGCAATATGAAGCACCTCAAAACAACTTACATCTACAACATTATTGAAGAACTTGGTCAGAGCCTGCAAAGACAATAAAAAATAATCAATGAGCACAGCACTTCATTCCATGGTTAACTATTTTAAGTATAAAATAAAATAAAATAAATCCATTCTCAGCATTAAAGAAAAATGAAGAAGTGGGAAGAAAATTTAGATGCCTACTTTATCATAACCAGCTATAGCAGGGCTATGCTTCCGAGGAATAGAAGTCTCTATCCGAGAACGAGAAATTGTCACACTGAAAACAGGCACTGTACACATTTAAAACATACTCCGTAAAATCTGTTGGCCAGAAGCCAGAGAATTATAACTTTGTTACAAAATGTCTAGTCAAACAAATCCATCAAACAAACAAAAAGCATTTTGTGCATAGGATTCTCAAGATTTTTGGTGCATATTAATAGTCGAGCACACTCAATTTATTGGCCAAGTAGTCCTACTATACACTCCATGTATGAAAATTTATGTCCACATGGTGAGGAAACAGGAATTAACTGTTATTAATGCGGTATTAGAAAACTTAGTATCTTATTAAGTTATGTTACCTTTTACCAATTAGAAAAATTTGTGCCGAGCCCTCTTGCATCAAAACCACAGCCAGGTCAGCACTTGCAGCAGGATCTACCCTCATCACATGAAAAAGAACCCATCAAAAAAGACACTAAATATCAAGGTAAGAGAAGAAAACCTATTGTTCGGTTGCATTTTGTGATAAGGAACAGTCCTAAAAATAAATAATAAAAGTATCAATGCGTGTAGCTTGCATGCATATGTTTATGTTTATAGATAGATAGGTTAAAAGTGTATAAGACCACGGGTATAGGTTTACTGCAGTATAGGATTCTAAAATGCAAATAGCACAGGCCTGAAAAGTGAAAGCATGGCACTGCAGCAAAATGTTTAGATCTCAGAGATAACACCTCTCTCTCTCTCTCTCTCTCTCTCTCTCTGTGTTTTGGTGGTGGTGTTGGTTTTTTTTTTTTCTTCATTAACTTTTCATTTACCATGATAATCTTTAATAAAAGATTAAAAGGTAATATATTGTTATTTTTCTCTCTTGTTCCAACTTCCAATAGAAATTAAAGACAAACATTTATAAAAGATTCTTACTGTCAAAATAACATTACAATTTGGCACAATCAACTGATGTAAATTAACAGTTTGTAGTTTATACCGGATACACTTCAAGGAAGATGAGGAAAAGCTTAAATAACTAAAAAGAAAAAACTATAGATGCTGGTATCAAGCCAGTTATTTATTAACTAAGCATTTCAGAAAAGTAAAAAGGTTTGTACCAGGGCCCAGGGGCAAAGTAGGAGTAAGGAAGTAAGAAATAGAATTTACCAAATGTCAACAACTCTAACTAATTATGGAGAAAAAGAAGTTACATAATGAAAGGAGTCATTTTCCTAATTCAACAGAAAATGGCATACCAGCAGCTTGACGAAGAGCCTCCAAAGCAAGTGAGTCCCAAACGTCCTAAGACAAGGATAAGGAATATTAGCACTGAAAAACATCACAGAAGGGAAGAAAGGTAAAGATATATACCTTCCCCAAAACGAAAGGTCTGTGAAGCTCAATTTCTAGTGTGTGAAATGCACCAATCTGCAAGACAAATCAAGTAATTCAGAAGTTGTATAGCAGCTTCAAACCAATTAATGTACATTATACTATAGAAGTGCCTGTGATATACTGAGCTTATCTCCAATTAGGGTACCAAGAACTTCAAGGGGAAAAAATTGGGACCTTATAGAGATAAAGATCCTATATTGGGAAGTTAAAAACACACTGATATAGGGAGTAGGGAACAACTCAAATCAAATAATTCATATAAGCAAGAAATAACTCGTCAAATACAAGGATAAGGAATATTAGCACTGAAAAACATCACAGAAGGGAAGAAAGGTAAAGATATACCTTCCCCAAAACGAAAGGTCTGTGAAGCTCAACTTCTAGTGTGTGAAATGCACCAATCTGCAAGACAAATCAAGTAATTCAGAAGTTGTATAGCAGCTTTAAACCAATTAATATACATTCCACTATAGCCAGAAATGCAAGTTACTATTCTGGACGCCACTCCTGACCCAAAAACGCCTACAACAAGGGCCACAACTATAACCCAAGAAGTTCGCACCAAGTATGAACATGATGACAAGAATGCGCGAGCAGCAATTCTGCAGCGCATGACCAACGCCATTTTTGATATATTTTCAAAGCAGAAGTCCGCCAAAACTATTTGGGACTTACTGCACCAGGAATATGGATCGGAACTGATGAGGCTGGAAAGAGGAAATATGCGGTTGGGCGCTGGCTCAATTTCAAAATGACTGACTCGTTATCCATAGTTGAACAGGTGCATGAATACGAAAACCTGGTGGCTGACATGCTGGCTGAAGTTAACAACTGACAAGTACTGAAGATGAAGGCAATACAATGCTACCCAAAAGAAAATTAAGAAGACTTAAGATAAATTTAAACCAAAACTAGTATTTATTTAGACTATATATCGTTTTTAGACTAAGTATTTAGACTAGCCTTATTACAAAGATGCAAACATTTATTTTAGTGACAATTATAATCAATCTCTCATATATTATTTTGCGTTTATATACTTTGAATTATTGATTTAAATAAACAAATTCAACATTCAATTACATATGCATGAATATTTCTTATATAATCTTACATTGATATACTTTGAAGTACTTATTTAAAATAATCATTGGGTATTATCCCATTCGCGCAATGCTCGTGAAAAACTAGTTATTTCCTCATATAATAAACAACATTAGTAAATAAGGTCCCTAACTATACATGAGCTAAATCACATATACAACAAAAAAAAAAAAAAAAAACAAAAAACAAAAAAAGATTAAAAAACCACTCAAAGTCAAAGTGCCAAGAGGTGATTGCCTACCACTGTTTTCCCTTCTATCCAAAATTGTGCCCCCAGGCCCCAGCCAATTGTGTGTCAGAAAAAGTAGCCAACACATCCAGATAAAGGCTTCGAACTCCCTTCTTCTTCTTCTTCATATCGCCTATTACGCTGGGTTTCCATTTTTGAATCAGATGTTGGAGAGCTAATTGTGAGTGTTATATTAACCCTTGAATATACATCTGTCTCGGTGTGCATAGAATCATGGTCAGGGCGGAATATGATGACCTTATTTGGGTTCACAGGAAAGAAGCAAACCTCACCCTCTTCTTCATAAACTATGCATGTTTCAATTCTGAAATTCTCTTCAGCTCCTTGCTCCAGCGGTGAATAAAACTCTACAACCACCTTTACTTCTTCCACTTTATTGGCTTCTATAAAATCATCATATATTCTCCACTTCAACACCTTATTCCTTCTTTTGTCGACCACATGCTCAAATAACTTCTCTGTGGTTTTGTTTGTTAAATAACACGCACAACTAAAAGAACATGAAATCCTCGCAACTATAACTATCCGTGTTTTTGACGGAAACAATGGCAATGTGTAATTTGATGATGAACATCCAACTACTACTTCAGGCACCATGTCTTCTAAAACCAACATTCTAAACCCGTGAAGGTTTGGGTTTTGTAAAAATGCCTGCGTGCATATATATATATATATATATATATATATATATATATATATATATATATATATATATATATATATATATATATATATATATATATATATATATATATATATGTTAAGAAAGAAATTAATAAATGCATGAGAAGAATTAGCATGAAAGCATTAGATCGAGCTGAGGCATGCAATTTCAGAGATAGATCACTAACCTTGAACAACTTCGCACCACAAGAATTACTTGCTAGAGCGCTACAATCCATGAGGTGGACTGAACGTAAATTAACAAAATTCTCTATGCCTTGAATTTCAATCAAATTACTGCAGTTATGAATCCCCAAATGGTTTAAACTTGAGTAAGGCAGATCTTGAATCACTCGAAGGTTCTGGCAATTATACAAACAGAGACTTCGTAGTTGAGAAAGATGAGAAAGGTTAAAAGGCAGGGTATCCAAGTAACTATCCCACAGTTTTAAACAACAGAGCTTTTCAAAACTGCATCGAGGCTCAATAATCAAACTTTTGTAGATAGAAACAGACAACAAATGTAGCCCTGATACAACTTGTATATTCTCCAGCAAGGGACAATGGCGCGCAATAAGGTCATCTAGGTTAGGTGGAAGATCTTTAATCAGTTGAAGGTTCTGACAGTTGTCCAAAACTAACTCTTTTAGCTGAGAAAGATGAGAAAGGTTAAAGGGAATGGTACTAAAGTAACTATTGCTTAGGTCTAGAAATGTCAAGAATGATAGACTCCCCATTTGAAGATCTAAATGTTGCATAGATTGGTAAGGAGCCTGTAGAGTTTCCAAGGAACACAAATTAGCATCGGAAGAAGAAATAGGCTCCACACTCCTATACTCATACCCCCATATATCTTTGGACTGCCCTAGTGTCAGATAGTAGAGATATCTCAAAGATCCACAAGAAAAAGGCACATGTGACACTGAAGTAAATCTAGCATTAAGCACACCTAGTAGCTCTAATTTTCCCAAGTCAGTAGGCAATTTTTTAATTTTGGAGCAATAGTTCAGATCAAGACACTTAAGCGACTTCAAGTTGCAAATACTATTGGGGAGAGCTCTAAGATTCTCACAAAAACTCATATTTAACTCAACGAGTCTTTCTAAATCTCCAATAGATTGCGACAATTCAACCAATTTTGAGCATCCATAGAAGGACAATGTCTTTAGATTTTGTGCTCCAGTAAAATTTGGGGATCCTTTAAGTTGCTTGCAACCATCAAACCTTAAGATCTCCAAGCATCTAAAATGCTGTTAAATCAAAATATAAAAAGTTGTAGTAAGTTTTTTCCAAGCATTTTGTCTAAATAAATTATGATAACTTTTTTAAAAAGATGTAATGTCAAAAAAAAAAAAAAAAAAAAAAAAAAAAAAAATCTCATATAAACTTCAAACCTGCAACTTAGGTTTAAATTCCTTAATATTGCTACTTGTTATTTTTAAAATAACAAGCTTCTTCAGGCAAAGATCAGACGATATGTGTCTCAATGGACAATTATTCCAAAAAAGCAATCTAAGCTCCTTGGATAAGTATTTTAATGGTCCCTTGGCATTCATGGATAAGATTTTGAGTAATCTTAACCTGCTCATTTTAGAGAATACTTTAGTACTCAAATGCACTTCCTTTGGCAAATCAATAATCATTGTTTCAATTGCTTCATTTCCCTAACAAATACCAAAAAAAAAAAAATAATAATAATAGCGTTAAAACATTCCTAAGTGACATAAGTATAATCAAAATGTAAAACGTAAATTAATGACAAATAAATTATTAAAAAAGTACAAAATGTAATTACTAAGCAAACGATTTGAAAAACATACATACCAAAATAATAAATTAAAGTAAATCAAGTGTATTTAAGTTTACCTTGTTGTTCACGAGTACATCCAAAACCTCATCACATGAAAATAATCTACTTCTTTTTTCATAGAGCATAAGAGATTCTTGACGAACAATTTCTCTTCCCATATCTCGAACTAAATCATGCATATAATAATCTTTTCCCCTTAACAAGCATCTATCAATTAAAGTTTTAATTCCACTTTGAGCAAAGAAACCACAAGCATTCAATATTGTAACAATCTCTTCTATGCTGATATATCCACCCTCAAAAAAACAAGCAATATCAAGGAAGATTCTTTGAGTATCAACGTCAAGTGCATCATAACTAATTTTGAGAATATTCAAAATATCTTCATGAGGAATCTTTCTTAACTTCTCAAAGTCAGCTCTCCAATGTTGAATTGATGATCTTGACCGAAAATGTGAACCTAGAACAGTAAGTGCCAAAGGAAGTCCACGAGCATAACTTACTATCACTTTCGATAGTTCTGCAAAAGCCTCCAAAGGATTTGGGTCCTTAAAAGTATGCCAACTAAAGAGTTCCAAAGATTCCATGAAACTTAACACCGTAGCATTGTACTTCTCACAATCTTTTCCGAGGCCATTCAACAAATCAACATTTCTAGTTGTAATGAGAATTGTACTACCTGAACCAAACCAATATCGGTCTCCGACCAATGCCTCTATTTGACTCTCATGGTTTACATCATCAACAACAATGAGAATCCTTTTTGATTGAAGTCTTAATTTGATCAAACTAATTCCTTCATCAACATGGTTAACATCAAATCTCGTTGTTTTGAGAGTATTACAAAGAAGCTGCTTCTGCAAACATTTTAAACCTACACTCCCTCCTTTTGAACATTCTGATCTAACATCAAGAAAGCAACTACCTTCAAATGTTTCAGAAATTTGGTTAAATATGGCTTTCGCTAAGGTTGTTTTACCTACCCCACCCATGCCATAAATCCCTATCATACAAACATCACCATTTGATTTACTTTGTAATAAAGAAAGTATTTCGCTAACCCGAGTATGAATTCCAACGGGATATTTTGCAACATTAAAAAATGTCCGGTCCACCACTTGTAGAATCTTTTCTACAATTTTGTCAATTAATTTTGATTCATACCTGCAAATTTTTGTTGATGACTAAATTACTGACCGACGGATTGTATCATATAAGGGGAATAATGGAAGAAGACAACCAGAAAATACTACCAAAAAGTTTTAATATTTTTTTTAAAAATAAAAGGGAGAAATCAAGATACCCATCAGCATCGTTCAGTAAATCCCAACCAGAAAAATTTGCAACCTTGGTCAGAGCTGTTTTCCATTGACTAACTTTTTTGGTCCCAAATCGTTGTTGATGTTGAGCCAAGGCTTCACCAAACTCACCGGTTTGTTTGCGCACTTGAGAAGGATCAACATCATAGAATACATGGAGAACCACCTGATTTGTCTTTTCTTTACATTCCAGTATCTTCACAAGCTCCTCAAGACACCACCGGGAAGAGACATAGGTTTTGGAGAACACAATAATGGAAATCTTTGATTCTTGAATGGCTTTGATGAGATCAGTGGAGATGTCTTCTCCTTTACGGAGCTCTTCTGCATCTCTGAAAGTGTGAACTCCGGCTCGGCACAACGCAGCAAAGAGATGATCGGTAAAGGACTTCCGTGTATCTTCACCTCTAAAGCTCAAAAAGACATCATAGTGCCAACAGCGCGGAAGTGAAGGAAGGAGCAGTTGATTAGTTTCAGAAGTGGATTCCATGATAGGAAGGATGGATGGAGATTAAAGCTTAACTTAGGATTACTACTGCGTTTGCTGCTTCTAATTCATATGGAGGCATTTATATATACATCTTCTGATCTGTAAGAAATGGAAATTGCTCTGAATTTTCTTGGTATGAATTATTTACTAGCCTTTTGTGGGTGTCCTTTTGTGGGTGTAATTTGGGAAGGGAATGGAAATTTCTATAGATGTTGCTTTCGTTTTAGGTGATATTGGTTGGAGATAATTATGAAGAGTCACCCAATGCATTTAATTAATCTGTTTCATTTAGAATAGTCAACATTATTATTGATAAGGTGAGTTTCTTGTATTATTTTCATGGAAAATGATTTATGGAAGAATTATATTGCAAAACTTGTTACGTGTAGTGAAATATATAATTTGAGGAAGTAATAAGTACATACACCAACTCATACAACAAACACTTGCAGGTAAAGACAAAGGAAGAAGAGCATAATTTATTATTTTATGGTTAATATTATTTAGTGGGACTTTGGATGGAAGAATTATATTGCAATTTCATCACTTTTTCCTTACTTCCAAAACATGAAAAATTGGTAATTTATATCATAGACGAGGGTTCATATAGTATTATGGATCTTAATTTAAAACGACGAGGTACAAAATTTGTATTCTTAAGGTACATAATTTAATAAAATAAAACACACAAAAATAACAGCACAACATATATAACATTATGGACCCTGAATTGAAAAGACGAGATATAAAATTCATACTCGTACAGTACATAATTTTATTAAACAAGACAAAATTATAACACAAGACACATACGCATGTTATATATTTAATTATATTTTTCAAATCTGATTTAAGTACATAATGTGTGTTCTTTGGCACAAAGTTTCTCAGCACAAGACACATAAATTCTTAACACAAACATAGAATTTCAATTACTAACTCTCAATGAAAGGTCTAACTTGAAAATTTGTAATTATCAAGTTAACTGTCCAACCAACTAGATTGGGTTGCCTCTCTACTGTGATAACATTTTCAATTTCTTATAAGATGGAGCATTTATAACCTAAAACTGAATTAAGCCATCAAAGTATTGAATTAAATTATCAATTTTACAAAACTGTTAGACACATATGCATATTTGGTGTTGCTGAGAAAATCTAAAAAAGAAGAAGAAGACAGAGCCACCTATTTGTTTGCATACTTGGGAAGGATCAACATGGTAGAATATGGGAAGAACGACCTGATTTAACATCTCCTTGCATTCCAAGATTTTTGAGATTACGAGAATGGAAATCTTGGATCCCTCAATCGCCTCCAAGAGCTCAGTGGGAAAGTAGCCCCTTTGCAGAGCTCTTCATCGTCCTTTAAACACTAAACCTGTCCAGAGCAACATATATAAAGATGCCTCTTCGCATGTTTTTTTTTTTTGAAAACCAAAAATTTTTATTACCGTAAATGTACAATACAAATAGGAAAAGAAGATAGCCAACAAGAAGGACCAGTCTGAGAACGAATAGCTCTTGCCAACGCATGAGCAAACATATTCACTGATCTAGAAACATATTGAAAAGACATTAACTCAAAGTGTCGTTTAAAGGCTCGGCACTCATGAATAACACAGCCTGCATATGATAGATCTTGAGATGATCAAGCCATTTAGTAATCTGCAAACATTCTGACAATAGAAAAAATGACCATCTTTGTAAAACCCAACTCCTTAACCCAAGATAGAGCTTCCTTCACTGCAAGGGCTAATGCGCATTATTTAGACAACGGACCGGACCATTTTTTGCAGCTAAGAATTCCCCATTACTATCCGCCTATCCACCACAAAAAACCCCATAATAAGCATCATCATCATCATTATAAACCGTGGCATCCACATAGATGCTCATAATACCTGGGTCTACAACTAACTGGGAGTGAATTCGTGCTCGAACCATGCACATTATTACTTGCTACCAATGCTGCCTCTCCCTGGCAATCCAAAACCAAATTAGCCACTTCAATAAGAACTGAAGTAGAATGCCAAGCTTTAATATTATAAGTTTGATTCTTAACAAGAGTAATTTAATGATGTTTTTGGTTTAAACAGATAATCTAGATTAGTTTATCTCTTTTAATCTTTTACTGATTAAGGTCACAAGATGAGATTTATCTAAATACCAACTTCATCTGCATTTGTCTTTTCTTTTGATAAAGCAAATACAGAAATGATGATTTCTTCATTAATCTTCAACAGGGAAAATTATTTGGATGGGGGAAGTTTAAATGACGATAGAAATGTCAATTACAAAATATCAAACAAGTATAATAAGGCTAAAATACAAAATACATTATAAACTACAATAGAATGTTTTTGATAGATTACACGATAGTTAGAATCGGAGTCAAAAATATACTTGAGTGGGGTGAAAATGTAAAAATATTTATGACAAAATATGAAACATAATCAATTAGATAAAATAGTTTGAATAACACAATATTCATACATACTTTTAAATTCTAATTCTTTTAGTTAGATCAACTTTAAGTTCTTCTAAATTAATTTGAATACAATGAAATAGACTAATAAGTAGATCAACTAGTAAATTAACTCGAATAAATTTATATGAAGTATAATATAAACTTGTATACTACATTAATTAAATGATTCATAAAAAGTAGACTAAAAGAGCGTTTAATTTGTTAATTAAATGATTCATAAAAGTAGACTAAAAAAATATTTAACTTATCTTGGGAAGGAATGAAAGAGATAAAATAAACAAGTGAAGATAAGTTAAAGTGCTGTTAATGAGTTTTGAACCTATAATAACCTTATAATTTTTATATTAATATCAAGTTTGAAGTTCAACCAAATAAGCTATTCAAACTATTGATATTATAAACATAAATATAGATTTTATATAACATTTATATATGTCTTGTATTGTGATTTTTTGTATCTTTGTGTTATGAAATTCTGTAGCTTACAAGTATGAATTATTTTGATCTGGTGTTTCCCACTTTCCCATAACCTAACAAATTATTGGTAACAAGTTGCGGTGTGAATGCATAGACTTGAAAAAGCATATGCAAATAAATACGTTAAACTACTCAACACCTTTGATATGATGGAAAAACAAACAAAATAAGGCAGCTGGTGCGCGTTAGTGCATCCACAATGGTTGGAGAGAATTGGGGGATAATGTAAGAGTGATTAGGAGAGAGAATGTGGGAAGGAGAGGAAAAAAAAAAAACAGAAGAGTCAAGTGCGCCGAACGACGCGCCCGTGTGGGCTGGCTGCTGTGCGCAAAACGCGCACAGCAACCCATGTTTCTTTTTTTTTTCTTCTTCTTCTTTTCTGCCATTATGCCTAATTTTGCAGATGAATTCTTCCCAAATTTATTCTTCTCCACATTAGCTATAAACTTGAATTGAGTGAATTAATGCTGCATTCTCCCCACATTATTTACTGATGTGGATGCTCTGTCCTCGTAAAAATGGCACCAATTTCGCCAAAAAAAATAATTATGGGCATTAGAGAGAGTTGTAGAGAGATTAAATATTGAAAACCTTGAAGAATAATTGAAGTTAGTAGTCTATGGGTCACTAGTCAGAGCACTACAATATATTATCTTAATTATTTCTATTGAAACGAGATTCTCTAGGCTATGAAGCTCAAGTAAGTTATTGCAGTTAGAAATAGAAAGAACCAACTGTTGCAGATGTTTTATGTTAGATAGAGGTAGTACCTTATTTTTCAACAAAAGACAATTGTTTATCTTGAGTTCTCATAAGTTTTGTGGAAGTTCTTGAAGCACTTAAAGGGTCTAACAATCTTCCAATTACCTTTTCAGGTAAGAGACAACCCATTATGCAGAGCACTTCTAGTCCAAGTGGAATTTGAAGTTCTCAAGTGCTCTGACATTTGTTCATATTGAGTTTCCATAAATTTGAAAGATTACATACACCTTTTATGGCAAGAAACAATTAGTTGCATTGAACACCATTACGCTAAGTGAAAGTTCTTGAACCACTTAAAGGTTCTAGCAATCCATCAAACTGTAACATTTTAGAGTGGAAAGATGACAATGGATAAATGGTAGGGTATCGCATAGAAAATCCCAGGAGTTAAATCAACATGTGACCACATCTTCGACCCTAGAACAGTGTATCAAGATTTCTCATACTTGTACAAGACAAAGGTAGCACTAACACGGAAGTCAAATCAACGTTTAACTCACATACTAATGTAGAAAAACCAAGCACACTCCCAAAAATTAAGAAAATACTATATGAACTCTCACTTTTACTCCCTCTCACAAATATATCTTTGATATAAACATTTTCTTGAGACCCATATGAAGAAAATATCCTTGTTTGCCATGTCAAATGAAGGGGAATTGAAATTTAAGACATGTAGTAAAACTCAAAAAATAAGCAAAAAAGAAGATGAATGTGGGCAAAGAATCACATCTACAAATTTGATGGAATCATAGAGTACAACAATAGATTTGATGGCCAAAAATTTAGAGTGTTAATTTCAACATTCTACCATCAAAACATAATACTAGTGTTAGCTATAACTTTTAACAGTAAAGTTAAGCATTTGATTTTAACAAGATTTTTCTCTCCTACTTCATATATACAAAGTACTAAACAACTAAGCATACATAGACAAATGAATCACATCTACTTGTACAAAAAATACTTTTATTCAAACTAAAAGCACATCTACAAAATGTGATGGTGTCTTCACCTACACTAAACTTTTAAAAAATGTGACAGAAATATTATTCCATTTGAGTGAGATGCCAAATGACGCGGTATATCAAATACCCAAATCCCATTTGCTTATGAAGAAGATAGCTCTGTTCTTGTGAAGACTATATACATAGAGTACAATACAAGTAATCCATTTTGTAATACAAGGCGAATGGGAAGTATATGTATTCAACCATCACCTACTAAGCTCTCTTTGAGGAATCTCACATCAATGTAATGAAGACAGAATAATGTGATTAAGCATTCCTTCCTCCATTCCATCACATCTCTATGTCATCAAGGTCGGGCAATGGAAACCGAAGGATTGCAGCAATACCACTCATCATCGTCAGTTCTGTATTTCAAATCCATATATGTCAATGAGCATGAATACAGGTTGGGGGTAGAAAGGAAATATATGTACATGGAGTAAAAAAAAAAAGTGTATCCTCACTGACAAGTGACAAGTTTAAGTTCTTAGTTGAGGTAAATCATTCAATAAAAAGCATTAAGTAGCGTGCACAGTTGCACACACACACAGATATCCTCAACTTCATTATCCCACACTATCAAGATGAAACCTAATATTAAAATGTCAGAAGTCCAAAGCAATCATTTGAACTACAACATTTCAGTGTTGAAATATAGAAACCCTGGTAGCCCTAGGATTAGCAAATTATTCAGCCCATAATTTTCCTATATAAGCATGTATCTCTCTTAAACTCTGTATAATATTTTGTGTACAGTCTAAGGAGATGCATGCAGCATGCTTATATAAGAATATTATGAGAGGTATAATGAGGCTACTACACTGCTAGGGTTACACCCTAGGGTTTCTATATTTCAACAATTAGCGAGAAGGGAAAGGCCTGAATCTAAGATAATTCAATATGCTTCTCTACGACTCCAATGGGGCCAAGGTGGATGTATCATATATCCAACCATGCAAGCATGAATGTATACATAAATGACCAAAAACATTTTATAAGAAATAAAATTGCTCCATCAACAACTTGCACATTCACGTGCAATATTGTATAATATTGGTAAGTGAGATACAAGTAACACATCTCCTAATATAAGAATGGGAAAGAGATCATACTTATATCCCAAGGTAGTATGTGCAAGAATTATCCGTGATTTGTTCTCTATTATAGGTCTCAGTTGCTTCCTCTCTGCTTCTAACAGCAAGTGACGATGAAATTGATCCTGAAATTATTTGTATTTAAAAAGTTATGCACTGAACCGTAACAAATAACTTACTAAGTATGAGTTGATTAATTCCTTAAAATGTTTATTTGCATATAAAAACTGTAATGGAAAAAAGATTAAGATCATCAGAATAGCATCAGCTAGAAGTAATCACTAGAGAAGCCAAGATGGACCTTTGTGAATCCTGGACTTGCAATCACAGCACAACGAATCACGTTGAAATCAATATGCTTAAGGAAAGCCTAAAACATAGAGATATTATTAATGGGGAAAAATTATGAGGTTATCTAAAGAGGAATTGAACTTTTGACGGGAAAAGAAGCAGCAATATGAAGCACCTCAAAACAACTTACATCTACAACATTATTGAAGAACTTAGTCAGAGCCTGCAAAGACAATAAAAAATAATCAATGAGCACAGCACTTCCATGGTTAACTATTTTAAGCAAAAAATAAAATAAAATAAAACCATTCTCAGCATTAAAGAAAAATGAAGAAGTGGGAAGAAAGTTTAGATGCATACTTTATCATAACCAGCTATAGCAGGGCCATGCTTCCAAGGAATAGAAGTCTCTATCCGAGAACGAGAAATTGTTACACTGTAAACAGGCACTGTACACATTTAAAATATAAAATCTATTGGCCAGAAGCCAGAGAATTATAACTTTGTTACAAAATGTCTAGTCAAACAAATCCATCAACAACAACAACAACAAAAAAAAGCATTTTGTGCATAGGATTCTCAAGATTTTTGGTGCATATTAATAGTCGAGCACACTCAATTTATTGGCCAAGTATTCCTACTATACACTCCATGTATGGAAATTTATGTCCACATGGTGAGGAAAGTCAGGAAACAGGAATTAACTGTTATTAATGCGGTATTAGAAAACTTAGTATCTTATTATGTTACCTTTTACCAATTAGAAAAATCTGTGCCGAGCCCTCTTGCATCAAAACCACAGCCAGGTCAGCACTTGCAGCAGGATCTACCCTCATCACATGAAAAAGAACCCATCACAAAAGTGACTAAATATCAAGGTAAGAGAAGAAAAC